CCTCCTCCTCCTCCTCCTCCTCCCAACATCCATGTGCCCCTGAAGGGTGCAACAGCTTATGCATGCTCTTTATTTTCATTTTTTTTTACAGTGGAAGCACTCTTTAATCAGGACTTCGACCCCTCCTTCGATCACATGATATCCACTGCCTATCAGCACATCTCCAAACGCCTTCTCGAAACCTTGCTCAATCGGTATCATTTCATGGATCATCTAAGGGTAAAACTTACGAACGCTTTCCCCTGTTTACGTATTTATAGTTTCGCAAAAGAAATGTAGGTGCGCGTTACCCTACGTCGCGGGTCGAAAATCGTATATGCCACTTTCGATCTTCCATTAATGTCGATTAGATACTGACCATTTCCTTCACCAATGAGATGGTCTGAGTAGGGGTCAAAGGAGGGCTAAACGCACTCCTTAAACGGGTAAATTTAAGGTTTGATTAACATAGACACGTGTTTTTATAATACCAGTAAGTTACTCCTAGCAGGCCAACAAATATCACAAATTTATCAGTACTCAGAGTTGTGTTGAACCCAATTCGTCGAGCGTCACCTCTACTGTAGAGAAAAAGGTTGTAAACTCACACATTAACCTCGAATTTCACTATCAGATGCCCTAAACGTCATTGGCTTTTGGTGCATGTGGTTTTTTGTGAAGATTGTACGCCTCCTTATAGCCGTGGTCGCTATTTCAGCAGTCGACGGCTGATGCCTGACCATTACTAACACATTGGTGATAGATAAGCTGCTAACCCCCTTGAGCACACATTCCTGGATCTTGTTTGCTAACTTAGCTCAGACCGCCTCGAAGTATGCGCCAGTAATGTGTGTAGCCTCGTGTCACTGTGTGCAGATTGCATTCGTATGCGGAATCAGTTGCCATCCCAGTCAGCCGCTCATTTCACTTTCCTTAGGCCACTCGAAAATTTCTCCTCTTGGGTCAGGGAGACTTCATTCAACGCCTTATGGACCTCCTTGAGTAAGTTTGTGCTTTTGGGTACCGTTTTTTGCGTATCCGTGCCGCATAAAAGCCTTTTACTAAGTTTCCCATTCCCAAACCCCATTCGAGTGCAACTTGCGTCCGTGAAATGGGATTAAATGCATCGTGTTAGACGTATCGTTGTCACCAAGGCGCTTCTGGTAAACTCTGGGCTGTATTCCACAGTTGTATCAGTGAAAATGGGGTTAACCATGCCCGATGACTAGCGTTGTGCATACCACGAAAACTGCGCCAGCGCACACTAGCCTCGAATCACCGGTGTTGTGCTTTCTACGAAACCCCAGGCATCTGTTTCGACTTTGCTGACTCATTCTTGGGCTAATTGCACTTTGGTAACCCCACATCATAGTGGCTATGCAAATTTTAACGCCAAAAGGCAGTTTCGTGATACTAGAATTGGATTCGTTTGGTGTCGATTACGTTGTCATTGTTGTTCCTCTCAAGCATTAGTGCTGTGGGGGTTGATTGGGCATAGCGATCACCAGTAGTTGAAGTCCCGATGTGGGACTCGAATCTACGTCACGACACTAAGCATTGGTGGCCCCAGCCAATAGAGATCAAAGGTCAGATAAGAAGAACGCGGTCGATCAATTGCGTAGTTATGTGAGGAAAGGGTAAGGCGCACATGGTGACTGCGTGTGTGTAGACCCCGGATGGAAGATGTGAATTGACGGAATTCACTACATCTGGCATGTTTTTGACCAGTCACGCTATTGGTGGCAGGCACACATTGATCATTAACTTCCGTTAGCGAAAAGTTAATTTGAATCCCACAACGGTGAAAGTTGTAGTGGTTATTTTGGTGTCCAATTGACTTCTGTTGTTGCCTAGACCGGAGTTGGGAATGCCCGCACAAGCCATCATGCGTCATCGCCTGAACGAGATCTTGGAGACGGCAATTCGCGACACTAACGCCCAATACGAGGACTCTGAAATCCTCCAACGACTCAATGTCGAGATCCTCGAAACTGCTGATGGTAGGTTCATGCGTCTCTCCCGTAAACACGCAACATCAACAACTAGTGGTCTTGACGTGCATGTTTTGTAATAACCGGTTCTCACCATGGCAACGTATTGCAATCGCAAATAAAGCCAAGCCCGTGTAGGTTTGTGTGCGGGCTAGTTTAGTACGCTAGCTAATTCAGATAAGTTGTACCAAGCAGTCGGTTCTTTTCTTGCCGCAAAGCCATCTACCGTCTCTCTGTGTGTGTGCTCTCTTCAAGGTGATAGCGGATGGGATGTCTTCTCGTTGGGCTACGCAGTCAACGGCCCCCTCTTGACCATCTTTACTCCCGACTGCCGCCTCTTCTACCTGAAGGCCTTCAGCTTCCTGTGGCGTCTCAAACGCATGGAGTTCACTCTGAGCACCCTCTGGCGGGAGCAGCTTGTGCTGGCGCGTTTGCCCTGCGGGCTTTCGGAGGACCTCACACCCATCCTCCACGTGGTCCAGCTCCTCTGTGCTGAGTTTCGCCACTTTGTGCTGCAATTGCAGTACTACGTGAATTTTGAGGTACCCACTCGCCCCTCCACTGTGGGATTTGTGCACGATTTTCTGTGCGAAATTAGTCGAGGGGTTGTCGGGTGGTCGGTCCACGCCAGTGCTTGTGTGACCCTCTTTTGTGTCGTTTAGCGTAGATGGTCTTTTCAAGCTCATTGTCCCACGACATGTTGACCTCACTTGATGTGCCCAAACGCACATATTTCGTCCGATAGTCTTTTTCATCATCAACGGATGTGAATGTGTGGAATTCGACGGAAATATCCCCTTTGTCTCAGCGTTTATTTTCACTAATTTTTAGAGAAATGATGTTGCTCAATCCCTCCATTTTATAGGCCCTCGAATGCGCATGGGAAGCCCTAGTTCAGAAGATAAACGACGCAACCGACCTGGACGAGGTTATCAACGCCCACAAGGGCTTTTTGAGCAACGTAATTTCGCGCTGTCTGCTGGATCGCAGCTCGGGTCAACTAAGGTACCAATTGAGAGCCATCTTTGACGTGATTGTTAACTTCTCTCAGCTCAACATGGATCTACAGGACTTGGCCAAGGAGGAACTTGAGCTAAGGTCCCAAATGCAGCGTGAGGTACGTCTTAATAAGTTATTAAGACCTGTTTTTACCGGCAGTATCCTTACTGAGGAATGCCAACGCAAAACTCTCGTCTGTTTAGGTGGAGGGTTCAGCCAGAACGGGCACGTGGGGAACGTGCGACACGCCGGAGAACCAAGAAGTGGCCAGGCGCAAAGTCTTCGTTGAGACGACAATCGGGCCAATGATCGCGCGTATCCGTGTCCTCGCGTCCAGTTATCGAGTGAGTCGGATTTATTGTCCGTGTGCCCAGCGTGAGCTGAAAGGCCCCGTGGTAGATGCCTACTGATGATGTAATGTGGTAAACACGAGCTACCTAGTGGCTCTGGAATGTATGCTGTGTCTGCACGTCTTGTATGCATTTAAACCTCCTCCTCCCACCGGTGTTGTCAATCGAGCATTTGCGCATTCGTGCGTTCTGCTGTGTTGCCAAGATATCTGGCTCATCGACCAGTAGTATTTAATTTTGTTGTTCGATCTCACCCCACGTGTACTACGCAGACAGCACCCTCACACTTTTATACTTGTTTAGGACATGGCGACGGAGTTCATGACCATGCTGCAGAACCACACGGACCAGAGCCTTCGCCTCCTCGTGCAGAACCTCAACTTCAACTCGCACTACCTCGACACAACCAAAGAGGCTTAAGCGCACCTCTCTGTCACCAATAACCACCTTGTACATACCCGCACACAGATGACCTAACTGCTTTCTCAACCTGTTTGCACGTGCCGTTCACGCGTCCACCCAGCCTCCACTATGCTCACTCGATGTTTGCCTATTTTTTATCAATGTCTCCTTTTGCATACTATCACTTGGGTAAAGTACGGTATTTTCCACAACCAACAAATCCATCGTGTACAACAGCTGTGCAAAAAACATTTTCTTTTTGGAAAGCAAGTTCCACGGGGCTTAGATTTGCTCGAGGAAGCTGTCAAAACCCTGACCGAGTTCCCAGATGGAGAGGCCAGTGCCAAGTTCCTCCGCGATGGCGACTCGCTTCGCGATTGAATACGCGGTGGGAAAGTACATTGAGTGTCTCTGCCCCTCGTTATCCCTGGTGAAAAAGAAGGCAAAAATACTCGCCAGTTGTGCTGGATTGGTTGGACTAACGACTGTCGAGGTGGAGATATCACTTCGCCAAAAAAAGCGCTGTCAAGTGTTTTGCGTTTGTTTAAATTTAACAAAATGACGGCTGCTATGCCCTAGCGTAGCCTCCCAGAACAATGCACAAAATTCCACCTATTTAGTTCGTTGCCTACGCACGAATGACCTAGCAACATCGGATAATTTATTTCCGGTTTGTTTCTCGCGGAAGGACGCACAGTGATTACGGCGACTTTGCCGTGAAGACCAAAATTGCCGACTAAAAATACCCTGAAACGGGCAGAACAAAGTAGAATGCCCTTGAAATGGATAAAAAAAGTGGGAACCATGGGCTGATGCGTAGACATAACGCTTATTTCAAGCTATATCGGCTGATACTAGCAAATAAACAAGAAAGCTGTCAGGTCAGATCCAGGACAATTAACTAGCAAACTTAGAGGTAGATCAGGTTGCAATCAAGTTAACATAGTTTTGTTCGAAAAACACCGGCACAGGTAATCATCGGCCCTGTTCGCGTCTTGGTAAGTCAGTCACACACGACTTGCGTTATTTGTCGGTTTTAAACAAAGACTCAATAATGACGGTTAAGCAGATGCATATTACTTCACTTACGTGTATTCCAGAGAATGTTCGGCGCTTTTCTCGTGCCACTTAAACGTTGGATTAAGGCTCTTGACCACGCCCAAGACACTAAAGCAGTGAGGTTAGGAAATCGATGAACGAGCACCCACTCATTCCGCAGAACGGCTTGACCGTGTTTCTTGCTGGGCACATAATCATAACCATAGAAATTCAGACCAACGAGAATTTTGGCTCGTTTTGTCGCCAGCCTTTTCAAATCAGCGCCTTCCGGAGCCAAGCTCTTAATGCAACGAATTATCCACTCGACAGGTGAATTTTCACCAGGCCTTTGTTACATAAGCTAGTCAACTTGTGGACTTACTCATAGGGATTTGAGTAGTCATACGACATCAGACTGAAATAATCCACATGAGGCTCTAGCAGGTCAAAGTGAACTCGATTAAATCTTCCCTCGAAGTTCCTATAAACAGTTGCGAAATGTGAATGTGATCATACCCCTTGTAAACGGCCGGCGGGATTGGAAGAATTAAAAGCTTCCCATCCTTGTGGATGCCCTTGGCAAGTTCGATCAGGAAATCAATCAACGACCTGATTACAGAAATATTAGTACAATTCAAGTAGCCCACTGTTGAGACGTCCCGAAGTGTTGCATCCAAACTTCCAAGGTAATCCCGTCAAAGTTGTATTCCTTAAGCAAATATGTACTTTAAAAAGGCGTTGTGATTTCTTGATGTTGTAACATTGGCAGGGGAATTCGGCAAGATCGCACCGTTTCGATTTACAATGAATTGAAAAAATATCTATAAATTTTCAATTTCCATCTTAATGAACATGGACTCATATCATCATGACGCGGTAACAGGTACTTGACTTTGGGCTAGGTGGTTCAGCGTAAAGCACCAATTAATGTTGTCAGATTAGACACTACGTGGTGACAAATGACGCCTCCAAGACACTAGATCACTATCAAAATAGTGGCGTAGGAATTTTGACGATGCATGACAGCTTCAAATGATAAATGATCAACTTTGGTCAAAATTTACTTTCCGAAAGATGAAAGTTTTATATATCATGAGCAGGCCTCACTATTATGACAATAACCATTGCAAAATATGTACAACAAATAAGATGCCTTAGTCAAAACTGCTGAATTGTGTGCCTGAGTACACCCTGATACAAACTAGGGAGACAGCCGATGTGAGGGAAGCTAAACAAACCTTCAAAAGGCCACGGAGTGTCTTGATGCAGTCCAACCGCTTTTGGTTGTTTGAAAAAACGCCTTGATAATCGCCAGCGCCCCAATTATCGAAAATTACTCGGGGGGCAACTTTAATATCTGCGTTGACTGCTTTAATTGCTTCTATCCACTTGTGGTCAACGTGATGGCGACCCTCGATTTTAAGTCCCTCTGGCTTAAGTTGAAACCAGACAGGAGAAACAATTGAAAATTTCTGAGCAAAAATCTTTGTCTTTTCGAAGCCATTGGAGTTCCACTAAAGAGACAATAATAAATCCGGAAAGTTAAGATTACCGGAGTTACATAAGCAAGAACAACATTACTTAGTTTCTTGGGACTAAGCTCATACGGATTAAAGTAATCATATGAGTTTAAAAAATGTTGCACGCTCATATCATGGTGCAACACTGGTCTCCCCTTTACTAAATAAACAAATGTGGAATTTTCGACAATTTACCCCTTTTCCCTCACTGGACTCCGATGCGTACGAAGCCATAAAAAGACATAGCAATGTGTATGAGTGCCAAAGGGCGGTTTTTATGAAACCCATCACAGGTATTTTAGACAACTAGGGATTAAGTAGCCCAACAGTGAATTTGTGGGTCACAGAACAAAGTTATCAGGCTAACCGAACGAGTAATGAACATATGTCTATCATTGAAGGAAACATATTCATGCGATAAAACGATTGAATTCCAGAATGCTGGCCATGCAGAGTTCAAAACATTAGTTTCAAAATATTTGAAATGTAGTGGCATGAACATTTTTTTACATGACCAAATCCCAAATGCCATTCTTCAGTTTCAGATTTAAAATTGTGCTTGCAGTCCCTCTAAAACCACTAAACTTGGCAATATTTCATCAGGTTGGATAACTAAATCCAATGATAGATAAGGGTTAAAAGATTTAAATAACTTAATATTTTTAGGAAATATTATTGCTATTAGTAATGCCAAGAATTAATATATGTTATATGACATTTCCCTCGGATTCTTCTTTTAGCATAAGCATGATTTAAATACACACTTTCGTAAATGCTTAATTTCTATGATAGAGAGCAATTTGAGTTTACATGAGAAATCATTGGCGTAACTAGACAGATCATATCTTGGTCATTCTTTGAAACACGCCTTATTCTGCATTATAAGTTAAAATATTATTAAAAAATCCTGACCTGTGCATTCTAATGACGCATAACAAATTCATAGGCTTTTAAAAATTACCTGCTGTTAAAAGCACCGAAAAGTGGCTTTAAAAGCACTTTAAATCCACAACATGCATCGGCCAGATTACGCTACACTGGGACCCCGGGAGATCACGGAGACCATTTATTAGAATTGTCAACTAGATGACATCCAAATGACTAAAGTGTTACATAACTGATTCGACTAGCGAGGACAAGCGGACTGTCCTGCGTGACTGATGGGTACACAATGAAGATGGTGGTCGAATGTTGGATTGTACGGCAACAGAGTTGATGGGAGTGAATCACCAGGATCCATTACAGTACCACTTTCATCACTACTATATCTTGTTGTGGGGTAGCTATGCAGAGGAAGTTTAGAAATGAGGTGTTTGGTGATAGACAGTCAGGAAATAAACAACACAGGAATTTCGGCATTAAATATATAACATTTTAATTAACAGAATTATTTTTAACATTCACGAGAGACGCTACATAGCACATTGAAATATAAATTTCTAGTCTGCCTTAATCACTGGTAAATTCAAAACCAGATTCCTTCTTACACTTGAATATTATTACCAGCTCAAGATGATATCCTAAATCATATAACATAACATATAACATATAATCCTAATCCCAATCCTACGAATCAGGTGTGAAGTTAGTGGCAAGCAGACCGTTTTGTCTGCCATCTCATCACCAAAATGTTATCGCGTAATAGTTATGCGGTAGTCTGCCTTGTCTTTTGATCAGGGTTAAATATGTCAGAGGTTATGATGTTATGACCTTGAATTACCTTTAATTGTATATTTCAACGGGAATCTTTTTTAAAAAGTATAAACGAACTAGGAATTGGCCTGCCGAGACAAGCACGAGATTTACTTGGGGCCTGCTGACAATCTCTATTTAGTTATTGTCGGTTTATTTTATGTAACTACATTGATCGCGCCTTGATCACAGTGTAATTAGTTTTCGTTCCCGAATATTCTGTTGCCCTCGACATGAGTAAAGCACCAATTATTCTACGCTGTCGAAAACCTGTCATTTGGAAATATCAACTACAGAACAAATTCAGTTAAAGTGTTTTGATCAAATTTAGATTGTTTTTCAAAACACGTATTGAAAAACCGACCGTTCCCTGTGATTTCAATTTTTACTCACGTGTGTCTACGCAGTATTGTTAAATGAAATACTATTCTATCTAGATCTATCCACTTCTCTTACCGTTTTGTATGTAAGCAAAAATAAATAATGGATGTGCTGAGTTCTTGATGTGTGATTCGAATAACAAGAAAGAAATTTAGTGTCTTCATATTTTTGTCTGGCAATGGGTTATTACTGTAACGCGCCTAGCGAGCGGGGACCTAAATAGGTAGATAACTGTTAGTCCTTTCCCTCAAATAGCCACACTATCAGGGTTAGCTACCAGGCATACGATAAAAGAATGACATGAAGAACCGGATGTATGTTAGACTACCGCATACAAATTCAGAGGGCCAGGGCTTAGGGAGAGTTAGAGCAGGAGGAGGAAAGGGATGTCCATGAGAAGGGTCAGCGTTGCCCTCAGACTCACGGACGTGCCTTGAAAAAGGCGAAATTGTCGGACGGTAGATGAGGACAAAAAACAGGCCAGACCGGCGTGCGTGAATAGAATGACTTGGGTTACATTACGTACACTCATTTCACGAGCGACTGCTAGTTAAATCAATGACCTTGATAATTTGCTGTATTCAAGGTAGTTGAAAGAGGTCATTGCCAAAAAAGTTGCAAATTTGAGCAGTTAGTGCAAATTGGTTGGTTTGAGAGCGGTTTTTCCACCAATCGGTGATCTGTTTGCTTATTGTCGGGTGTAGAATACCCGAGCTCAGTTATGGGAAATCAGGTACAATAGCACAGGATTTACTTGCCGATCTCACGCCGAGATCGTCGTTTAGGCTCCATTCACCCGAGTCCACAATACTGGATGCGAAGCTTGCTATATATAGAATTTCTCATCCGCTCTTGTTTCTAGTCGGTTGCTGACCTCTAAAGCAGGCCGTTCCAAAGCACAATGACCCACAATGATCCAAAATGTCTGAGCACTCGTACGGCACTACATCTCTGATGTGTGATCATACTAACTCTATGATCAAACGAATTGTGAAGCAAGGTGTCTAGATTCCAATTCAAATACTACAGTGTTTTTCTGATGGCTACTATATATTCCCAAAGGTATAATCTGACATAGCCATAAATAAGTCATTGAAACTAGAGGTGTCGAAAGTGACATCTAAAAGGTGTAGTTTAAGCATTTCGTCCGAAGCTATGTCCGTAATAAACTCTTTAGTAAGCGTCGTGTCAACACACAGCTGTCGAGTCAACCATTGCTATTTGTGTTCGTTGTTTCCTGGCCAATCACGCAGCTTCTTACAGCGCTGATTTCATAGGCCAACATCAAATGACAACATCAAATGAGAATGTTGCAGCTGCTACAGTTGTTAAAATTGTTACCTTTTTTAAAATGGCCAGATGATGATGCCATGATGGATTGGTATTTACCTTACGGCAGTGTTTGAGTGCTTGTGTATTGAAGAGTTGTTTTTTTGAGATGCTTGTTTTTTAAGTCCACTTCTTCCCACTTCCACTTTCAGAAGTCTATCTAAAAGGGGTAACATATCTTAGACAAACAATACGCAATGACATCCTCATCCCACCTAATATACTTGCCTGTGTTTTTTGCCTAACTTCGACACTAAAACAAACAACTGCAAGTTGAAAGCTTCATGACAAACACGCAAGCCCTTATGCATCCACAAAAGAAACCTAATTGACTTAGTAAAACATTCCATTAAGTGTCCACCATTGTTTGACGTGCGAAACATTATTTACTGGGCTTTGTTCCCTCTGTAGAGACAAACACACCGAATGTGGCTGTGCTAAATCAACAAGAATAGCTCATAACGTTTTGAAACATTTTAATAAACATCAGTTAGCATTGCTCTCAACGCAAACCAACAAGGAAAGCATGAGGTCAAACAAGATTACCATGGCTGATGGTTCTCCTTTTCTTATTGGCTGAAACAGCAACCAACTTATCAAGCAAAGAAATGGGCAATCTAAAATAAATGGGATTTCTAAGTTCACGTTAAACTGGCATTTTTTGGTTCATTTCTTTTTCTAGCTAAAACTAGCTTAATCTTGGGGCAAATTTTAAATTGCCCTTTTAGAAGCAGCCCTGTAACAATGCCTTTTTGACAAATCATTAAAGCTGTTTTCGTGCTGAATGGCAGAAAATTGTCGAAATAATCTTGACTTTTAACGTGCACTTATTTGGCGGCCAATCAGATTGCAGGAAAATTTTCCGCATTTCCTTTCTTGCATTTTTTTGCCGCGGAAATGACAAGGAAAGAAAAAAAGAGAAGCATGCTTTCCAGCATCGGTTGGTGCGGAGACAGAAAGCGGTGGACACACGATTTACCCACCACTACTTCAGTGATCCTAATTGAGGCAATTTTTGTCAACGAAAACAGTTAATCCACGACGTGCCTTTCACTGATTCAAATCACAAAGAGGAGCACAATCGTTTTACCACAACCTTCTATTCTTGTATTTGGCCCTTATTTTGGACCCAAGGCAGTACATTTAACTTAAATGCACCATGGTTGACCTTGAACATTATTCATCTACCATTCTGGCCCTGCCGTCTCATTCGTTACTTCATTCCTTTTGCCTCTTCTTCTAGACGTCTAGTGCACTATAATTGGGCGTCCTACGGTTGAGTATAATCAGTCATTATTGCATGTTTGCTCAACTTCCTGTGTTCAGGAGCCGTAGGATGATAATGTGACTTATTTTGACCTTCTCACAGCCTGATTTTAAATCTGTTGGGATGTGTGTTGAGCTGCTAGGTAAAACAGGGATAATTTATCATTTTATGACCTTGAAAAGTGAAACAAGTGTTTGGACGAAACAGGATCCCTTTGTACTTGATTTAACATGACCTTGTTATAGTGATAAAAGGAGGTTAGTATGCGTGACACTTATCCGACGCCTTTGACCTTACTGGAATTCGGTATTGACAGCAAAATTTAAAGTCATTCCAAATTTAACTGCAGATTTCTAATTACGGTTGACAAAGTGTAGGGTAGAAAATGGCACCATGGAAACCTAAAACGAAATGAATCACGATGTTGAAAAGGCGACGGAATGATGAACCGACTTCCCACGTTTCCTTCTCTCTGATGAAAACTTGTTGCAGTCATATCTACCGCTCATTGGCTCACTGAGCTCTAAATGTGATCATGGTAATGCGCTTAGCTTAAAGGGGGCCCTGTCTTTGTCCCGGCACCGGGGTGTAGAATTTGCGTCAGACGGGGTTATAAGAATTCGTACCCTGGGCGTGTGTTTTGGTTATTGGGGTAGCAGATAAGATATGGAGTAAAAACAGCCTGAAGCGCTATTTGATTGGCTGGTGGTGACGACACTAAGCCACTGGATTTGCGCCTTCATCGATTGGTTCACTTCGTATACTGTCATCACAAAAAGACTGAAGCAGGTTGCCTTGGGTGCAGAAAAAGGTATACGTTTGAGGCGTGGTTTCATCAAAATGACGACCAGCTTTGGATTGAACCCCAAAACAGGGCAACGTATGAATAGTCCACCTCCTGCTTCGTTAACGCAGTTCGATGGAGCTGAGAGATACTGTAGCTCAGTGTGAATCGTCATCTCAATGTTTTATAGGCACCAAACGAATTTTAGATTTTGGTCTTTCGTAGGAATTTACTAAAGTGATATCATTGTGGTTTCGTCAAGAGTGAGTGACGTTGATCTTGCCGTCAGAAAATGAACCATTGTAGACAAATCTTAAAAATTTTTGATCTGAATTGTTTGTTCCATTTCATTGGCGTTTATTAAGCTATAAAATTACCGAAATTCAGATGTGCCATGCATGGAAATCGACTCAGTTTGTGGTCTTCATCTGGAAATTGTTTGCTCATTAATTAGCCACATTTACAATTTCTCGACCTACTAATAGCCATATGATTGGTATGGCACTTCTAACCAAGCCGGAATAAGCGCTAGCTTAGCCTATCTTCTATCCATCGCGAGCATTTTAAAATAACTATGTAGTTGTAGTTTTAGTGTAAACTAGTTATATGATCTTGTCAACTGACATGATTCGGTTTCTAGAAAGTAATTGCAGTGTTGCGTGATTACGTAGGAAGTAACATGTGTGTACACGTACACAGGCATTAAAATTTTTTCCGAGGCAGTTATTTTCGGTTAAATAATTTGGTGTGAAGGATTTCATTGAGTCGATACGTGGTTAATCAATAGCTGATATCATGAAGGATTAACTGATATGTGATTATTGGATTTTCGAAAGTAGAATGCCGGCAAATACACGATAAGGAAACTCAGCCAATTCTGTCACCTAATAGCATAAGCAGCATGCATAGTACCGGATTTGCACGATGCAACTGCCGCTTTTTCTCAAATCTGTAAAAAATGCAGTACATTTCTTTGCATCAAAGGTTGTTTTGACGGTTCCGACATGTGTTCTTGCACTACGCGGGGGCCGCTGCGCTGAATTTGGCCCACTCAGATGCCCGAAAAGATGAAGACAGGACTAGCTGAGACCATTGCTGACCAGATAGGTCGGCCTAGTCGTGTCGGTGTCGTGTGCGTGCATGCCAAGTGAGCGCGTGACCAATGTGGTTGCTGACCCGTGTGGTCTGGGTGAACTTGTAGAAGTAGCCAGATGAATTTCATGCGTAGAACCGGGGTACATGGGCAGGGATATGTTAGCAGACGGTCACGCATGGCTCACGGGCACGCTGTGAAATGGGAGGCAGTGCGAACAGGCATGATCCACTGCAGTTGATTAAGTCAAAACATTGCACACTTGTGGCGCTTCTACTTGGTGGAAATAGTGAATGCTGTTTGGCTCCTCAAAGTCCTCAATATCAAGAGATTTTTGCGTAAATTTAGCCAATGAGAGTAGATAAATCATGGCGCCATTCAGATTTTTGTTTGATATTTTCTTCTAGGGATAACCAGGTGCAAAAAGTTTAATCTTTTCAACTTTTTTTGGGCAAAATGAGACAACTCAAATCAAAGCCAGATTGACCAAATCGAACCTCTTAGACTAAATGTCAAAGGACTGTCATGTTGTGTGGTTAATTTCAAAAGTGTCTTCCGTGCGTGCATTCCTAATTAAGTAACTATCATTAAAGACGAAGCCTGACTGGTTTAACGACATGTGCGGCATTAGCCAAACTCTTTTTCGAAATGGCAACCAGTTGCGTGGGTGAAGTAAGTGCCAAGGCACACATATATTCCCGTTATTACGTCATAAGTATGCTCTTATCAATTCCATCTTGTATAGGTTTGCAAGTGAGGGCTTTTCTGCAAACTATTAGTGCGCGGACTCATCAGGTGAAGTCTTTGAGTTCTCTTTGCATGCGATAGAGTCAATTTGAGAAGCTGATGGGAATGTGTTCGGCCACATACTGCCTTATTAAGTTGCATTAACTTGGCGGGTTAGCGCTGAATTTTAACCAATCATAAGCTCGAGTGCAGTTGAGCAAACCATCTGTTGAAGTGCGCCACTAGCTTCCTAAAACTTGCCGATGGACGAGTAACATGTGAGAGTGAACAACTTAAATAATCTGTGATTAACCCTAATCTGACTTTAGAGATGGCGGTGATTTGGGAAGTTGTGTAAGCAATGACGAATACTCAATAAAACAAGGGACGGCCCTGAGCAATGCTGGTTTTTCCCAGCATAAGGATGCAAAAAGATCATTGTCCTTACATCCAGGCTGATGGTAACAGGTGTTTCTGAAGCCTTAGGCCTCAATTTGATAAGACAACATGAGGTGTAACTCACGCCTTGCCAACTAACTTCCTGAATCTACATGTATCCACCACAGCACACAAATTCAGAGGCAAGTAAAGCACAAAAGACAATCTTTATTGAGCTGATGGCAACAGGAAACCATTTCAGAAAGCAGCAAAGAAGCAATGAATCAGCAATAACCAACATTACACATTTGCCCTTCGTGATAGCCTAAATATTACAACGACTAGCCTCGTTTCATTCACCAGCGTTGACCAAATCAACTTTGTCTATAAGTTAATTTAATCTGTGGAAGTGTTCCCTCGTGTTGGAATTTCGGATCCACGGCAATATCAAGTCTCGCCTCTATTGGTCAGAAGGTTTGCCAGTTCCTCGTAGTGAGACAGACACGCACACACTCACACACCAGAGGCGTTTACTGTGTGCGTGGGAACGAGCCAATGCTCACGGTAACCGTCCAAATTCCCCATGTTTGTCCAGATCCTGGCGACACCTTCTCATTTTGTCTCATGCTGGTAAAGTGTATACCCTGCTTTAGTGATGACTTCTTGCCGACGGTCCTAGCTTTCATTGTGATTCCATTTATGGAAGTTGCCAGCATCTGTCCTCCTCAAGTAGACATTCATGTGTTCAACTGTTCCAGAAGTGGTCTGGCTGATGTTCCCCGTCGGGCGCACAGCGAGACACTTACAGTGGACCTCTCACAAAACCAGCTGGCAATCTTGCACGAGGACAGTTTTGCAGAATACCACCGGCTTAGTAAACTGATCCTGGACTACAATCAGATCTACAAGATTACAGATAGAGCAATGAATTCCCTCTCACTCACTTTGGAGTATCTTTCATTGAGAGGAAATCGACTATCCAATCGCATATCATCAGATTTCGCCGTGAGTGCACTGCATAAACTTCGAAACTTGCGTTTTCTCGACTTGTCGGAGAATCCTCTGGGTGTGCTGGGCACAAACTGGTTGACTCCTCTGGGTGGAACACTGAGGACACTGGATCTGTCAGGTTTAGTGGGTGAGACTGAAATCCAGGAGGAAGCTTTCTTCGGACTTGGCCACTTGGAGGAACTTGACTTTTCAAATAACGGCATCCGCAGTCTGCCGGAGGACGCGTTTAAAGGAATACGACGGGAAAAATTGGCAAAGCTAAGCCTTAGAGACAATCCTTGGCATTGTGACTGTAAACTGCTCTGGCTACGTCAATGGCTGGATGACCTTCGAGATCGTCCGCTCGCACATGAACAATTTGCAACTGGAACGTGTTCATCGCCTGCTGAATTTGACGACGCACCACTGATAAGTCTACCCCTAAACAGGTTCCAGTGCCCCCCGATGCTGCAGGCGATGCATTCCAGCGCGCCTTACTACTTCGCACAGCAAGGAACTACTGTTCATGTCGTCCCGTCTGTAGGCGATTCCATCACCCTGAACTGCGCCTTTGTTAGCCAGCCGAAAATGTTGGTTAAGTGGTTCAAGAATGGCGTTCTCCTGCGGCCCGAATTGAAGCGTTTCAGGCACACCGTCAGCAAAGGCACCAGATTTGCCTCAGTTTTGACAATTACTGCTTTGAAAGCACCTGGTGACAATGGTAATTACACCTGTAAGTCCAGTAACAATCGCGGTTCAGCAAAAGGGGTGTTCCACGTAAAGATCTTTGGAAAGGGAAATTATGAAGCAGATAAGAATTTCACTCCTTTTTCCCACAATGTCGCGACGTTGCTTGTAACTCCTAGATTCCTTGTAATTTTATTGGTTGTCGTTTGTCTGTGTGTGTTCTGTGGAGCGGGTTTCCTTATTTTCTTATTGCTGTTCCAAGTAAGGTATAAGAAAAGAACAAGTCAGCATTGTAAAAACAACCACCAAATTGTCCCGGAACCAATCAGAAATAAGGCCTGCAATGAATCTCCAAGACTCCCGCCTCGTCCTCCAGATAAATCGACATCGACTGTAGTGAATCCTTCGGTGAAATCGGAGGTACCCTGTCGCGACGACTCATGCACGTTTGCGACTTCCTTTGAAGTCGATGACGTAACAAATAGTGACACGTGCAGACCAGTAGTGCGAACATTCGCACCACTTTTGACCTACCGGGACGATGAAAAGAGTGATGGTGAAAGCGGTGACTTGTCGATTGACGAAGAGAGCTTTGTGGAGGTGGACAAGGCTTGTCCGGTGCATGGAATTCAGGCAAAGAACCGGACCCTCTTCTGTCCGTTCCACTCGCAGCAGTCGGTGTTTTTTGGAATGCAACCCTCATCAGGCGCGTTCTCGTCAAATGACGCTCTAGGCACGAGGAGACGCTGGAATACTCTGGAATCTGCCAGAAGGAACAGCGGAGTTTCCATGCTGAACGGTAGTTTGCACCGATGTAGAATAAACTCGGCAACAGCTGACTTGAATTGCAGCAATGCACGCAGGTGAAGACTGGCGGTGTTTATGGACTACTTTCACTGTAAATAAATGAGCGTATGCTTTGAAATTAAAGACAACTACTTTGCTAGTTTTGTCGCAATAGGCCGAGACAGAGTATCTCACAACACCATGTAAGCGTTACTGCGATTAACCTGACTTGCCATATACATTGTATAAGGTCAGTTACTACTATAAGATTTGAAAGTAGCATTACACAAAGCAGACCCATTTTTTCGAAATTCCTGCACAAATAAATGAAAGAACCGTTTAATTTAGCATCCAAGGTACTTTGATTTACATCGCCCAAAAACCATTTAAATAAACGCCTAGTAAGAAAAGGTATTGAGTTTTTATTACTAGACATGCCTCCGTTCATGTTTATCGTTTGCCGCAATGCTAGAAATTCAAAGGCAAACAATTTTAATGCTGCCACTTTCCTCCTACGGCGTTAATTTAAACAAACTGCAAAGTTTCACAGGTTGCGTTTTTGAAGCAAAATTTGATGAAATTTATTTAACAGGTGATATTTGAATATATTTAAATGAATCTTTATCAGTTTTTTTTTAAATTTTCATCAAATCGGAAATCAACAGTGAAATATTTGCCTGATAGATTTCATTAAACCAGATGTCGTCAAATCATTAGAGCACAGGTTATCAGGGAAATCTTGAGTTCGTTTGTCTCAGTTACAATCAGACCCTTTGCATCAAGAAAATCAGGCTTTAGAAATCAAAATCAGTTGTTTTTTTTTAATTTTTTTTAAAACCTGTATCTAAAACCGAGTGTTTGTAAGTTTAAAATTTTCAAAGTACACAAGCCCAACCCTCGGCTCTGTTTTTGCAGCAACCTGGCACTCGGTGCTGCCAACTTTTGGGCACGTTTTTGTAGACCGCGGCCAGTGTTGCATGATTCAGTGGTCGTCGTCGCAAACCTTTGATGGGATATCTGGTTTTTAGGAGACAAATCTTATCTGATCAGAACTGTTCTGTGCCTTCAGGGCTGAGTTAATTGGCTCCGAAGGCCTTTATCAGAAGATCTCAAGCCAAAAGAGTGTTTGGTAGCATTAACCACGGTGTCTTTCTAAAACGTAATCATGTAATTTCTCAGATTTAATCGACAAGGGCAAGAAAATTTTTTTATTTAGCTTCATCTTGACAAACACCGCCAATTAAGCTCCACGCGGAATTTTAGTAGTATCCACTCAGTAGTGGTCCGCTGACCAGTCTCGTTTGCTAACACAAAGTAGACATGCAGAAATTTATGATTAGTTGTAAACACTCGAGATCCAAATGGTCCACTTATTGATTTTGTGCGGAGTAATAGGAAACTGGTTAAAATAAGTATTGATTTCTTGAGTCAGTTATTAAGTTAGGCTGAAATCTAAGTTCATTTTATTATAGATAAATTATACGATGTTATTACAAGTTACATTACGATTTTACATCAACTTTTCACAGAAAAAAGGTTAAATAATCCTCGTTTTATCTATGAGAAATGCAGGTAAATGAAATAATTGAATATAAATGCTACTGGTTATGCAGAATGAGTTTAGCGATTTTCCATCTCACCTAAAAACGTCTAACAATGTATGATAATAAAAATGATTGGTATGTATGAAATCACAGGAGGGAATATGAATTTCGCTGTGGAAAATTTAAGCATTGCTGATTGGGGGAAATTCCCAGGAAGAAAGCAGATTTATGAACAAAAGTCAGATTAAAAGCACGGAAGTGCACCATTGTTCAGAGTAAACAACTGCCAAAAACACACACGAAAATTGTTTTTAATAATTTTATAAAACGGTCGCTTTAATTTGATTGAATTTTGTAAAGTCAAGTGCAACATTTGTTGCCTTCTTATGAAATATCGCTGCTCAGGTTCACTATCCTCGGTTTTCATGCATATCTCTAGAGATTACATCTTGGCTGCAGTCATAAATAATGACAAACAATGCAGTAATCAGCGATCATAATTATGGAAAGAAATTAAGCTCGTCTTCTACAGACCAACTGGAAGACTTTGCTGGGCTCGTCCCAACCCAGGTAAGTTTGCTACCAAGTACAAGCCAGCGGTGGTTGCATCGAGGATCGTCTGTTGGCAAATTTGTGGGCAGAAATGCAAGTAAAATTACTGTAATTAACGTCCAAACAAACAAGCCTACTTCTGATCATTGCCATTAAGGTGTTTTAGCAGTTGTACTTAATTTATAAAAACAACGTAGCTGGGGAAAAATTTATCTGTGAAGTCTTACAGAAGAGACCGATTCAACGTAACCGACGTGGGGAATGATTCGAAAGGTTTCATTTATTAGTAGAAATTGAGGTGAAAATTGTTTTGCCTGTTAGTACACACCACACAAAAATGTACGTTGTGCGCATCACACGAGAGAACTTTTTTTTAAAAAAGGCGTGTTTTTTGGTTAACCGGAAATAATTCCAGAGGCATCATGCTGGTACACTAGAAACCAATATAGCCTGGACTAAATGGTGATGTGCACGTTGCCATGTTGTTATAAATGTTTCGTTTTATGCCCAATAAAGTTCCTTTATTAGATAATCAAAAATGTTTTACAAGAAAATCAATCGACACTGAAGACAAAATACTTTTATTACCCGTTGAAAAATTGAAATTGAAAAGTAAACAGCTTTGTCGAAGGTGATGGCTGGCTGCTGAGGCTAAATCTTACTTTCCATTGGTTCATACACACAGCTAGACCCCACATGCCCAAGTACCCTATAAAAATGCCTACGCACGGAATAATTCAAGGTCTGTCTAGTATTCCCCCTTATCTTCTAGTGCAAGATCGAGCTAATTGAGGAATGTCTGGGAAGGCACTTCAGCGGGGTAATACCAACATTAGATTCAGACTATCCTCCGTTTTTGTGTGTTTTAATAGATTTTAAAGGTGAGCAGCAGCCAATCGGAGAAGAAGATGGAAGGTGAAGCCGCTAAGGCGGACTCAGATCGAAGGCAGCTGTCGACCTATTGTCGATTCGCGTATTCTACAGCTGACTCGCATGAGTTGAAGCTTGTCGAATGGGAGTTCTGGAAACTGATAAGTATTTGCGACTCAGCCCTCGTCGCCACTACAGACCCAAGCCCCTCTGTTCATTAGGGCCTCTATCAATACCCTCAGGCCTACACATTTGTTCAGTGGGTAAACCGGTAATTTTATCCACCTGCTTATGTGGTTTGTGGCCCATTTTTTGTTTACAGAGACTACGAAGGTTAACAGACGACAGGGTCGCTGAGACGTCGTCAATAGTTTGCCTAACTACTAGTCACTTGTCGTGCACTTCAGCACAAGCATTCCCATCGATGACTGACGCTACCGAATTCATAAGTCCGTTGTAACCACCCAATGACTTTATGTTGCTGACACTAGGCAGGCATCTTTTTCTCACGATCTCAACAAACCGAGTGAATTTCACTTGGGCATTGTGTAACCAAAAGCCGTTAATCACTTGATGGGTACTTTCTATTCCTAGCCAAACGAAATTTTTCACACTTAATGACTTTCTATTCATAATTCATACCTTTGTACATAGTTTATTCTGATTGGTCGACTTGGCATTTTTATCAATCGATAGGTCCGAACTGTCCTCGTCTGAAATCATCATCAAGTAAACCCATGCTAGGTAACCAACCATGAGTACATTTTAACTTGATATCAGCTCCCTAAGATCCTGTTTCGGACCAAACCAGGACAATAATGGCGCTTCCACCACACTACTGAAGCATATTCTCTGTGGTTTAGGTGTCGGATCAATATAGACTTGAATATCCAAGTTAAATTGTAGTTGAACAACGAAAACCTGCATACACAAACGCTTCTGGAATGGACTTCCAGATAATTTTAAATTTCGATTTAATATGTTAGAATATCTTGCAAATATGCGTGATTTGGTAAAGCCGTGCTTGAACTAGAATGGTCTTAGTCGCTTATATGCGCAGAGTGAATCAGAAGTAACTGAGCATGTAAAAATTTTAAACCAAAATTACTGGTGATTTGACGTTCCGCTAGTGAAGCGAAAGTCCTTTGACATTCAATTCTTCGTTAATTATTGAACCAGCATTTCCCAGGATTTGGAAAGTCGTCATTGTTTACGCAAATCCCCTCACACCGCCATTTGAGTGGGTGAATCACTGACAGATCCATCGGTGTTAATCCTTCTTGATCCATCAGGTCGAGGTCTAGTAAGCACGACCTGGAGTCCAGCGTCTGGGGTGCCGCTAATTGAAATCGTGGTTTATGTCACGGGAAAACGTAAAAGCCATTCAGCAGAAAGTTACAGGTAAATCTACTATTTTTAGTCTAGATTGGCTAACAGAGCACTCAAGCAGTATTGTTCAAGAAACTAAGCTCTTTCTGCAAAATCGAGTGGAATTCTGCGCAACAGTTACTATTGTGTGCGGACGAGGCGATAACAATAGGTTTCCGAACGATATTCATACAATCGATCGTCATGTAGACTTCTGCGGAAGACAACTGTCTCAATGCATTCAAATTTTTACTATGGCCTTACAGGTCTTGGAACATTACTGGTTACTGTGTTTCTTTTTACCGTTTGATCTGGGTCTTCTTTTAAACGGTAGCCTGTCTCACTATTGTTAGCTTGGTAAAACGATCGTCCAAGGAGAGCAGGGTAATAGAATTCTCTTTCATTTATTAGTTTTGTCTGACATTTCTGGGATCACAATCTTCTGCCGGAAATAGAAACACGGCTTTCGAACAAGCAATTGGGTCAAGGTGACACCAGCAAGGATTGCTCACTACATCCACTCCTATCAGTTAATTAGTCATTTATCCGTTTAAAAAGCTGACTTCTCTAATCAATCACTCTTGTATGCAGGATCTTGAGCCTCTGTGACTCCCCATGGTTGAGCCCTCCTGATCGTATTGTCTCTCCACCACCCTCTGGAATTTAGCAAGACGTCTGATTTGATCCTCAGTCTACTAATTTGGCAATTTTTTAAGTTATCTACACCCACAACCCCTGTATTGCATTTTGAGGAATGTGAAATAAGTATAAGTATTTTCAGCAAATTAACATAACTTTCATCCTAAAAACGATAACACTTAACGGATATTTTTGTCAAAGTGGATATTATCGGTGCTAATTACTGTGAATCAGATAACCTGACCACACGAACTGCCCCCTAGCAGCGGTGTCCCGACAAACAAAACAACTTTCTGGCATTTGGCGAAAAAAAATAATCCCCGGAAAGTAAGGACGATTTCTTCAGCAATGACATGACGAAACGGTTTACGAAATCTAATTATTTATCACATCCTCTTACTTCCGAAATCGCAATGTTGATGTGGCTTTGAGTGAAAGCTGCACCGTATGGTGGCCTCTTAAACCATGCGACACGACGGTTTGTTGAAGAAATACAAAATATTTAGCTACCGCTTAGATCTATCTCTTTAATGATGATAAAAAAAGATTTAAAAAAAAATGCTTTGCAGATTCTAGCCAACTTCATAAAAATACGGTAAACATACGTGGCTATTTCGTTTCCTAGACCTTATCAAGTGGTCTAGATATCGATTTTTCTGGATTCCGAACATGAAAATCATAATACCACATTATTTCGAACACAGATCTTATCCATCATTTAATACTTGAGGGTTGAAGGGCTAGACCGATTGAAAAAAATACAATTTTGATATGTTTTGCTTTCCATTTACAAAAAAAAACACTATCTAAAGTCGGGAGACGCAAGAAGATTTGAAAATATTATTTTGTTTAAATGCACACAATGAATGTCGATTCCGCTCAGTACAACAATCCACGTAGCTTCATTGATAGTAGATTAATACGCCAGCAGGACAGTTAATGTCCCATTGGCTGCTGCGTGAATATGTTGCCAAATAAACTTCAGTTTTTTTCCAAAATATAACTGTTTGCAGGGCCTTTTATGTTTCCTAGTTTTTACAACCAATAAGGCATACTTGACACAAAAGCGGTACGTGTTTCAAGCGATACAAAGCAAACTTTCATATTTTATAACGCATCCAAACTGTGTGTTATACATCAGTAAAATATCAAGGCCGGTATTCCGAAATTTCTTTACTGCAAATCAGTGGGTATGGTGATTTCGCATAACTCATGACATTTTGTCTAATACCTCGTTTTTTTCGTTTCAGGTATTTAGCCGTTTTACTTTTTAACTGTACTCAATGAGATCCGTGTTACAACGTCTTTTGGATAGTGGTTTCAAGTAATACAAGTGCCATTTGGAAACAACCATTTTGCAGTTTTTCGCCTCTCACGTTTTGGTTAATCCAATAGACGGTTTAGATATTTGACCAATCATAGTTCAAGTTTAGTCATAACGCAAAGTTTGAACCATACGTTCAAAGTAAGCAATTTGCCTCGATTTTACAAGCGCTGTGAGTTTAATTAGGTTTTGAAGTGCTTTAGTATTACTAGCAAGACTTGTCAACTCGCGGTCAGTTCGAATTTTCTAATTATCCAGAATCTACTGGTAATCGATATTATTGGCAGTGGTCTTAGCCAATAATATCCCGTCAGCACTATTGTGTGTGGGTAATCGAGTTATTTAGATGCTGAATTAAAGAAAGGAGTGTGTAAATACATTCAATTCCAGAAATTTTTTTAAATATTTGGAAGCGACAAACAGAGTGTTACGAACACTGAGAGCACATAAATCTATCGCATAAAAGCTACTCACAACATCCAGGCGTGTCAAAGGTGCTCGCTAACACCATAGTGTATTTTCTTTACCCAATTAAATTTGAAGCGATTAGGAATTGAAAATGTTTTAAGATTTCCGTCGTTTTCGTATTTCTATAAAAAATTTTTCCAGTAGGCAAAAAATTTATGCTTACTCGTGCTTATAAATTATTAAAACCCTGCATTCAAAAACAGCATTAACACAGAAAATCCGTCTGAATGTTGTAAAGCACTTTCAGAAAACGCCAGAATGCCATGAAAAAAAGCATTTGTAGCCACTTTATAGAGCACAGAGTGACATTTTCAGGGCTCAGGTTGTAAAATTTTTGCATGCTAAAATATAAAACCCGGTTATGTGGAAGAGTTTCAAGTCTGTATGTCTGCGTGCAGTGGGATTCAAAAATCACTTGAAAACTGTTATCTTGTCTACAATTTTAAGAAGAAAAAAATTCTTCAATGCGGATCCTTCTCCGAAATATTGCCCATTCTTTAAATTTTGCTAAATTGTGACATACAAGCTGAGGGATTGAAATTTATACATAATGAAGGTTTAAAAAGCTAAAGGTTTTTTTGACATCTTAAATCCTCCACAGTGCTAATTCTAACTCGACTAAAAAGTCGTTAATCGTTGAAATAAGAGTAAAATTATTTGAAAAATTATTTTTTTTAACTCTGGCAAATTTTATTTCAGAAATGTGCATTAATATTCCCAAAGCAATGATAATGATCATGCGGAGTTCACAAAACGTGTATGAGTTTAGAGTCGAGTTGCATTAACTAGCAAATGTGCTGCTCAAAATTAACTTTGATGAATGCTGAATAATCTTGAGCAATACGCACAAGTGGCAGTCATAACAGTTTGATAGTTTTTGTTATCTAATGTAAGAAAATCATGAACCAGTTTCTTGTCGGCTGCTCTTTTGAGTTCCATGAATCAAAATTCGCTCAAACGCGGTAACTGTGTGAGGTCCGAAAATCAAATTTTCCCGCTACCTTCCTTATTGGTATTCTCCAAAAAACATGCACCTTACCAATAAAAACAGCCTTCTAACAAATGCAACTCAAACTAAAACGTAATTTTTTAGGCTCCAAAGGTATAATCATGAAAACCAAAAGCCAAAATAATTGATAAAGACAAAGACTTTCCCTATGATAGTACTCAAATCTTCATTGGTTTGTTTTATTTATTGATTTGTTTTTGACAACTTTTAACCAAGAGGATTTTTCTGCCTAACGTCAATTTCACTCATTAGCAAAAATTAATTTTGTAGTTAAAAATACATTAAAAATTCAACAGCAAATAAGTCACTACATTTTTATGGTGTGACAGCTGGGACAAACTTTGAAATATGCAGCACTTCTTGTGGTCATCAGTAAACAGCTTCATACATCTCAGCTTAACTCGGCATAAAATACAAAACTGAAGAATTTTCTAGTTGTTTTAAAACAAAAACAATCAGAGCCCTCTTGTACGTAGTTGTGGGTGTGTTCGTGTGAAAATGCGTGCATCAGACGAAGTCCGCACGATGGACGTCGTTGGAGTCGGTTGCTTTGAGGAAACCGTCGGCTGATTGTGTGGCATTGAGATGCAAAGACGGGCCCTGGGTTTCGTGCGGCTCGACGTCGCTGTTCAACGACACACAGCTCTCATCAGGCCGTGTCACCTCGATTTCCGGTAAAAACGCGAGGTTCGAGAATGCACCTCCTGTGGCCTCCATTGCGGGTTTCGGCACGTTGACAATCTCGTGGTGCCTTTCCTGAGGCACCGGGAGATGGATGCACTTTCCATCAGTGGCCTCTGTGGCAACAGGAGCACACGGAGGCACCTCACGCTGCTTCGTCTTACTTTGGGTCTTGTCTAGCTCGTCGAGATTGATTGTATCCATCCTCCATGACGGTGGCTTGGCGCAACGACTCGCCTTTCGACGCAAACGGCAACCTGAAATTTTGCTTTTGCATGAATTTCGACTTTTTGGAAAAGTGAAGTTTTAGACAAACGCATTACCTAGAAGTCAGATTGACGTATCACTGAACCCTCAGACCAAACCAAGACAATCACAAAGTACCATTAAGTAAGAAATTTGATGACTTGAATACGAGATTTCAACAAGCTCACCTTTTCTGAAGTGGTCGGTTGAATTAACTTTCATGCCGTTGTCTCTGAGAATATCAAATAACTCAAATCTGAAGGCGCTGATGTCGCCTTTGATTTCGTTGAGGTCGTCTTCAGTGACCCCGTGTTTGTCCACGTCCATCTGTCGGTGCATGAGGTAGCGATTGACCAACTCGCGCATCACCGCAGCATGACGCTCCTCCTTCTCATTCACCTTCTGCACCTTCTCCTGAAACCAATAAAATCAATCCTTTGCACTCTCAAAATCTGCTTAAAACCTGCAGGTAATTGGTGTGCAAAATACCAAAAGTCGGCTTTGGTGAGAACGCATTCTGCCCATTACCTGCGTCTCATTGTGGGTAGTAATGATGAATGGCTTCAAAGTCAAGCGGTTCAGACAGGATGTGCTGATATTTTTACTGCGTTCCAAAAACTTTCACCTCTACGCCTTGCATTTGTAAATTATGCATTTAGGATCTCTGAGACCCGAGCCTCTACGTGCATTCGGGCACTTTACGGAGCCAGTGTATGGGTGATTTCGCGCCAAATGATGCCCATTAACATATTCTGGTTGTTGGGCAAGGGCATTGGGCAAAACGCGCATTAATTAGGCCAAAAGCTGTGAGAGATTCCATAAAAAAGCAACTATTTCCATAATAGTCGCTTGAAATGTGGGCCAATATCTGAAAGAGACTGGCTGCTAAGTGTCTCGGTGAAAAATACAAACTGCATAATACATATTAGCAAATATTTGCAAAACGTTTACGTTTTAGTCGATGATTATTTCTCCTGTGTCGTGAACACACAAATCTCGCTTTGTGATGTTAATTTCGGGCATTTTGGTTAGGTCTCTCAAGGTCGGATAGTTGAAAAGCCGATTTTTAGCAGTTATCCAATCTCTTTCAACTTTAAAAGTTGTTCCTTGTCTGCAGAATCCTGAAACTGAACTGTTTTTGCTATTCTGATGCATTGTTTAAAACGACTGGCAGAAATTGCGCGGCCGCTTGAATTATTTGGCCCCATCGCGTGTGTAGGCGCTGTTTGCTGTTGTAACACTTTTTGTACAGACGGACCATTTTATGTGCCCTTAGGAACGAAAATTGTACTCGCATGAGGCAGTTGTGTTCAATGAGTAACTGGTCTGCATGAATGCAATTTCGCGTCCACCGCCGCAACCCACCTTGATAGAGTGCCAGTCGAGATCGGATTCCTCGTCGGGCTGCTTCTTGCACGGACAGCGGCAACTCTTGAAAAGCCTCTTGAAGGTATCTCGTCCTGGCAGGAGATTAAACGGCACGGCCAGAGCCGAGCCCTCAGCAAAATAGCTAATCCATAGCTTGGAACGAGCAAACTTCCACTCGATGTCCGCTTGTTCCTGAATAACATAGGCCACGATTAACCAAGAAACGTATTTTTGTGCTCTAGCGTATTCTTCTCATGAGAATTTCTAAGTGTATAAACTATCAGTCTAGGTACACCACTTCAACTTGTCACTTTGGCCCCATGGCCCTTCATTTTAATCCACCGCAACTGAAGTCATGGAAACCCAAGGCATTCCTTGATGGGTCCATGCTGACGTGTCTTGAGGGCCCTCTTTATGAGATCTCATCTTTGTCTTGGCACTGGACAGGTCGGGTTTAAATTTAACAATAGGTTCGTGTATTCGTCCATTGGGATAATGTTTTGGCAACAATTCCGTTAGACTTGTAGTAATAACGACTAAATTAATCAGGTATTAAGAGGGAGCATTCGTGCACTTCACATCTGCAGACACAAGGGCGTTATTTTCTTCACTTATTTGGTGGATTTTTGAGACTACTAACTTGCCTAATGTGGCCGCATATGAGGAATTAATTTTCTGGGTACATACTATGTACTCTCATAATAAGTTTTAGGCGAATGTTCTGGTCGCAACCTCTGTCGATTTGAGTGCGGACTGCCAAGTGAAATTCACTTTGCATTTCCCTTTACGATAAATTGAAAAAAATCTCGCTGTAGTCTGAATTTGGTTAACAACTTAAAGTGACGTGGAAATCTCATTTTTAGAAGCTACTCCCTTAGTTTCAGTCACTGTTGCATTACTGTCGAAAGCGTCACTTTCTACATACATGAAGTGAATTTCGCGACGCAATTGCAAATTGTAGTATTTAATTTCTGGTCAAAAGTGGCAAATCATGCATGTTCCGACTAAGGCGAATTCTTTGAATCCCACAGAAGACTTTACACAATAATGACATACCCAGATTTGTTGATACGAGTTGTTCATCATTGCGATAAGCATATTTAGAAGGACAATGAAAGCAATGCAAGAATAGGCACCAAATATGAGTTTTCCTAGAGAAAGTGGAAAAGAATAAGTGCTTGACACGAAGCCTTCTCAGTCAAACACACGCATGTGTGGACATGCACACGCAAATTTACCGACAAATTCCGTGAAACTGTGTGGATATTCCAGGTTGAAATTCGTCAGATCGATTAGGCCGTATGCCGACCAGTAAAGTGATTGCGCTATTTCAAAGAGGCTGAAACAAAACAACACAGTTTAGTAGCAAGATGTGGTTATGTCGAACTACGAAATATCGTCTCACTGTAGGCGTTTTGAATGGGAATCGAAACGTGAAATTTTTCTTTATTAGTAAACACAAAATTGCTAGAACGCAGTTGTTTATCAGTAGCAATCTGAAACGCCCTTTAATTTGTCCCAGAAAATCTAATAAATGAGGAATTCTGGGAGCCTGAATCCTATCCCTGCAACACTAACGAGACTCCTTAGCTTTCGGAAACGCCACGTTAGATGCGATTGGTTGGGTGGTAAAGTAGTTTGATTGGAGTGTCTTACTTGGTCAAGTACCGTCCGCGCGTGATACAGTACTCGTAGACGTCTTTCATTCCCTCGGCCAAACTGAACCGCACACCCTGGCAACTGTTTGCCCTTTCGTGGGCGTAGAACCAGTAGAGTTGGTTCAAGCCGAAGGCGAATGCAATTAGCACCAGAATGTAGACGCAGAAGAACTTGATGATGTCATTGACCATACGTCCGAGGCTTATCTGCAGTGGCCCTAGCTGGGGGCTAACTTTAAAGATGTAGACGAGTTTGAGTGTGGCAAAGATGTTGGCGATGGCGAAGAGGCTTTCTGAAACGAGGATTGGATCGTAGGCGTCCCACTTGCTGCGGTCGAGTATTGCCGGCTCCTCGTGAACATGAACCTTTTGGTCAAGTAAACACCACACTAAAAGCTTCTTCTACAACTTTTTGTTTAAGTTGACAACAAAATTTAATAAGTGCCAGTGGATCCCCAAAATATCGCTGCTTTCGACCACTGGGTTGATCGTGGAGCCAACAAGCAGCCAATAAATTATACACCAATAACCTGGTATTGGAGGTAGCCCTCAAAACTCATCCACTTTGACAAAACACAGCTTAAAACGCGTTGTTCTCAAGTGACAAGTTGATAAATACTGTTCAAATGACTCACTCGAATGCACGCAACGATACGCAGAATAATCGTAGCGATAAAGAGTGAGTTCTGCGCAAAGTCGAGTAGATGCCACATGTCGCTGATATACGTCTTCACACCCAATATCCAAAGGCTCGTGATTTCTTGCCATACGAATCCTAGACAAGTCAGGAAGTCAAAATATAAGCGAGATTTATCTCTGATTGATTCATTTTAATTGATAAAGGCGATAATCAGTTTAAGGCATGATAATGATTTCGCTAAACATATCCCTAAATGGCTTGAAACCCATGTCACAGACACCTAATTGCTCGCCAGTTACATGTAGTGTCAATACCGGTCATGTGTACACTCACCGATGACATAAACGATTGCCAGGGCTTCAAAGGGCGACGGATTGGGGTCTCTTCGACTCATGCGTTCCTCCAAAGTGTTCGTGAAGTAAAACTCGATTCGTACGGCCACCAGTGTGAGGATTACTAAAAAAAACACAGAAACCCAACAACATTAATTTGCTTGAGGTGCATTCATTTCCTATGTAATTCAAGTAAAACAGGATGAGAAAGCTTCTTACTCAGAAACGCAATGTAGGCACTGCATTGACAGATGAATTTAATGAAGGGCTTTCGTAGCATATTGCCCCAACGCGAGTCCGGGGCTAGGAGACAGCAGATCGATAAAACAGGGTAGAGGAAGGCAATGAGGATGATGATAGCTGCTTGTACGACGAAGGACTTGCGTCGGAAGCCCGGCAGTCCATCATACCAGAGAGACGCCAGCAGCTGCTGGCAGTGCGGATGTGCGACGAACTGAAAAGTCGCAAGGTGCCGCATTAATCATCAGCAGCATGTTCACCTCGTTGATGAGTGGCCGGGCAAATCAGGACACCATACCTACCTCATTTCACCAGTGATTTCAGTGTGTTTAACATTTGATTAGGCATCAATATTGTGATATTTGGTTTTGTACAGGTCTTATTTCAAATGTTGTTTCTCACAATGACATTTAAAAGAGACTGACTACTTTAATCTGCACACTACAGCCAAAAATACCTCTTTTTGTGAATATCGGGTGAGTTTTAGTTGTTTGATTAATACATTTGAAATAATTCCACCATGAATGGCATTAAACCGTTTAAAAATATTCTACACTAAGTATTTTTTCCACTAGATTTGAACTTTATAAACTGTATTAACCAATTCGTTTAATTTAAATAAAATAAGTTCATCCAGAGTTTCAGCAGGGTCGATGAAACTTGTATGGTTGTTCAGAATTATTGAGAAAATTTTCAGGAAAACAATTTTGAAAAATTGGCTAATGTTTCGATAGGCGTATTAATTTGGCCTATCGTATCAATTTATTTTCTGCAGTAGCTGCAACTTACGCTTAAATATCATCCAAGACAAAATATACTTTTTAACTAGGATAAACAATTTTGTACTACAATCAGGAGTGTAGTTATTTGACGTCAATTAACTAGACATTTAAAAAACCTATATGCATAGACTTAGATTACGAGAACGCATCAATAATAACTTAAGCTGTATCAGGCTACTGATTGATCACAACAAAACCATGAAGTCAACAGAAAAATGTTTTAAGTTGTTACAACTCAGCGAGACTAGTGGTTGTGGAAGATGCTATTTGAGATGTAAGTAGTTCGTACTTGTTTCTGTTTGTACTTGATAGCCAATCGAAGACGAGACAGCTGCATTGTCTGGCCTGTCGAATCACTCCTTACACCGTAGAGAATTGCGTCTTCGTCCTTACTGGAGCCGGAATTGTGGTTGAGGACGATGGCCAGCTCCGTGGATCCGCGAGTCTGCGCCAACAGCGCCGTCGCGAATGCCTCGCAGTTCTGCGACAGCCTCTCGTAGTCCTCCTACAACCCATTGGCATCATCATAATCATCATCTTTTACAGAAGTAGTTAGCAAACTTTCATGTGTTTCTGCCAACAGGGCGTTATATTTGCTTTGAAAAAATGTTTTAGAAAGACTTTCCGTTTGTTTTTTTAAATAAATATTCCTTTAAAGTAATTTTGAAATGAAACTGAGTGTAAAATCACGCGAAAGTTGGCCAGATCCATGAAATGTTAACAAAAAATGAAAGGCTGAATTTCAGTGGCAGACGATCGGAAATTTACTGAAGCTAAAGATGTATTAGTAATCAGGATTAGCTGTGATTTCGCTTCCTTTAAAACCACAGAATAAAAAAATATGAGTAAGTGTGTGGTTAGGCCAAATTTCTCCATCAAAAGCATTAAAATTGTTCAAATAATTAACAGAATCATTTCTGTGTGAGGCGCTTCTTGGCAGGCATTCGGGTTCAAATATAGTTCGTTTGCTGAAGCATCTTATCATCAACAAACAAACGGTAAAGGAAGGGGTTCTACAGATTAGGAACCTTTGATTTCAAAATTGACTATTCTCCAGAATGCCACGAGCTGCCGAATCGGAGGGTCGTGAGCCAACAGAAAAACTGCAACATCAGTTATTTGAGTGCGTGGTACGGGGACACCAACGAACCCATCCAGCTTTCCGTATGGCCTCGTGCGTGGGTAGTTTGCATGCGAAGAATACGGTGGATGAGGGGTCAGTGCATGATGACTTGTGTGTTGTGGAATTATGAATGTTTCGTCCACTAAGGACTCAGACAATCGACCAGGACCTCTACACTGCCCAAGGACAGGTTATGATGCAACACTTCAACACCTAACGAATCAAGTTACTTAACTCAAAAGACATCCATCCTGGAAGTCGGCTACGATGTATCGACGCAACCTTGACACAGTCTGGACGATTCATTGACAGTACAAATACCTGAACAATGCAGTCTTCGGAGTCTGATTTAATTTTTTAGTTGCTTTAGAATGCGCTAATTGGATCGATTGGGTGTTAAAGCATTATTACAATTATTGACAGCAACAGTCACATAAGGGAAAGTAGTTACAAGTTCCTCATGCACTGCAGAATTAGGCGATCGACCAGCACCGTTGATGGAGCCAATTAAACAGAAACGATCATGTTGATCTGGTTCGATGAAGCTCTAATGCAAGAACCCGAAAGGCGACCATCCTGAAGGTCGCTTAAGAGCATTCAACCCCACCCCTACAGATTTTGGGCCTCATGGTGTCTAACCGTTGCATTGTTTGCTAGCTTTAGAATATGACTTTTCCTCTACTTGATTAGGTCATCAATGTAACATCTGAAAAAAGCTGCAAACAGCACATAGCAAAGTCTTCATCATCAACCATGTCTTATAAACGGATCAAGAATTCTTCTCACCCTGAATTCGTTCTCCAGCCGCCCAAGACGTCGTGTCTCCCAGCTCAGCTCAAAGGCCGTGAGAATCGGGTCGCTGCTGGACAAGGCAATGAAGCAGGGGCTTGAGAGGGCACGGTAGGCGTTGATTCGCAGCTTCGAGTGCTGGAGACTGTCCTCCCTGTTGGCTTGGACGCAGGCGTTGCACGAACAACGTAGTTCGTGCGGTTTGGTAATCTTGTTGCCTCGGTCAAGGAGGATCTTGATAATGCAATAGTTATCTCGGTGTGCTGCCAATATCAGCGGTGTGATGTCCGGTGTGAAGATGGACGATTCGATGTGGCCCAGCAACCCCTGTGTAAATAAGAAAATAGAAATAAAAAATCTTTATTCTGTGATTTCACAGACCGACTGATCAAACAGGAACAATATCTTTACCTGTGAACCTAGTTCGATCACATTTGAGTGTCAATTTTTGATAATTACGGATCCATTCCTATCTATAGGGTGATTTAAACCCAATGGATAATTGATCAGCCACGACTGGTATCTTTAGGTTATTTGTATCAAACTGAATATTCTGTTGCATTGTTTTGTAGAAAAATAACGGAACTGCATGCTGTTTCAGTGAAAATTATTTTTCATCACTTAAGTCTTAGTAGACTTTGTTTGCCTTGTTGCAAACATAGCACGATACCTAATGACATTTTTTACTTTTGCTTGATTAAGAAAGAATTTTCTTTGTAGTAGCAATTAAGTGTCTAGGCTTTAATGTGCCTTAGCGGCTGAGTTATGGGCAACCAATATGTTTTTTTCTGATAACAACTACTGTGGTCATTAAAAAGTAATTTTTACGCCTTCTAGAGCCAAGCAGTATAGCGGCTTTTAATATCAAAGAATTAGACGATAATAAATTAGTAAAACATAAAAGTCTGTTGACAATTATTAATAGGCAAATTAGTAAATCTCGATTATTGTCGCATCTGCCAGTACTGGGCAAATTTACCGATAAAAATCTAGCTAATCATTATTTTGAAAATCCCGCTGTATATTTGTCACATACGAGGGGCAAGTTAATCTCACCTTTAAGTTCTTGCGTTGCTGTCGTTCGCTCTGAGCCTGCAGGATGAGTTCTATGGCCTGGACATTTTCCTGAGAGATCGCGTGGAGAAGATTGTCCCGTAATTCAATCGCCTCGTACGTCAGCAGGATCTGCAGCAGGTCGGTCTGTTCTGCTTCAATCGCCAGTCTAATCGCGCCGCGACCCATATCGTCCATGCAGTTGACGTTAACATTATAGCTCTTGGCGTTGTCGATGAGCCGTTGGACGGTCTTCGCATCGCCGTATTCAACTGAGCGCAGAAATAGCTTCTCGTACTGATTCAACTTGCCCTTCGCGACGGGAATCTCCAGACCGCCCAGGTTGAGGGTTCGTCTCCCGTTGTCGTCTGACTCCACCTTCAACGAATCAGCTACCTCCCGCTCAGCGATGCTGTCGCGGAAGGCCTGCATCACAACGACGCCTTGACGCACCGTGTTGATGGCTCTCTTCATGGCTCTGTGGACGTGTGCACGACCTCGGACCTCACAACGTGTCTTACGCTAATTCCTCCAACTTCCCGAATGCGTGCTGGCAAAAAACACCATTGCCCCTTAAGGCTCTCCACCACACCCCTCTTCTGTGTGTGCAATGCGGCGCCTGGCCAATGGCGTTCTAGTCCGTCGCTTGGATATTTGTAAACAAACGCAAATCTTGCTGATGCACTAGCAGCTGGAAGTAGAGGTAATTAAGTTGTTTATCAGATAGTGGGAGTAGTGCGCATTGAGCAATTAGGCCTAATGTGAGTAGTGGTTCTGGCAAAACATGCAAAATTCTTTGCATGGCCGAGAAAGGGGTGGGGATTGCATCTTTGTCACAACTTTCAGAAGTGTTTATCTGTCAGTTAGTCAGTTACACGCTATTGGACAATGAGTTTGCAGATGGATAAACTGCTTGCTTGTTTATGTACTGCCCCAGGAGTGCTCTTGTCTACTTGTTAAGCAACTCACGACTGAGTTGTTAAGGTTGTAAATGTCCTCATTGAAAATCCATAGGGTTGTAAAATTTATTCAGATTACACTGAAAACATGGAAATTAAGGGGAATTCGAGCATGAAGTCTTGGTGTCTCTTTTGAGAAAATGGTTTATTAATGCTGACACCGCCTGACCTTAGAATTGGTTATTCGTCAAACGCATTGGTTCTCTTTGCATTTCTTGGATAATTATCTCACAGCAACACTTGTTTTTCGGCGCCATATACCACTAAATATCCAACAAGGATGAAGTCAGTGGAGGGACACAGAGTCAACCGTGTTTTCAAGAGCTTGACCAAGTCGTCATCTTGTGTGTGTGTGTGTGTGTGTGTGTGTGTGGCGCTTGCACGTGCGTATTCATAACTCAGATGTGTTGAAAAGCTTGAGTCATAAATGTGTTAATATCGAGACCTAGGTGTCTTGATAATCCAGCATAATAGTTTGCTAATAAGTGGGGAGTTGCGGTACATTCTCGAATTCGTTAAAAATAGAGAATGTAATGCAATAATCCACATTTTCCTTATGCTAGAGTAAAATTATTTGCATAAAGCTTTCAAACGTTCCGATATTGAATAAGCACACCGTTATGAGCTTGGGTCATGTGGTGTGACGATGCCTAACATTAAAATGTCAGAAACAAAAAGTTTGGACCTAATACAATTGTCAACAGTCAATATATTCATTTGATTCCAAAAGTTGGTTATATTTGCTTGAATTTTCATCAACTTCTCCCTTAAACTAATTGTAACGATAAATAATCACTCAATCGGCAATCTCCAGGGCCTCTTACGTGCTTTCCCTTGATTGCCCATCGTAAAAATTGTTTATTATTCACAAATTCTACACTAATAACACTAAAATTGTGGTAACGGAAGTGTCGCAGTTTGAAATTGCCTGTCATTATATAGAAAGAAGATTGCTTCAATTAAAAATGGCGTGCTTTTTGCGGCTGTCGGTTTTATGGAAATGTCTTTGCAGAAGAATGATTCCACACAGATACCCAGATGACTTGCGATGTTTCAGTCTAATCTAATTGCCAATGGAAAGAAGGCAATATATTTCAAATTTCTTATTTCCCCTTATAGTGTTTTGCGTTAATTCAGGGCCTTCACTTATGATGTTTAAAAAAATAAATCTATTTAACTCTAAGTTCGTAATAGACACTCCAATATCGTAATGAGCACTTAAATCAGTTTATTTTATTATCCAACGTAACGTCTTCAGGTACTCTGCCTTGTTCAATCTGATAGACTAAAAGTTCAACAATCAAGTGACTACTGCGTGGTCTTATACAACTGAAAGTAGTTGTTGAATTTTTAAACAGTCACTTTTCTGGCAGCATTTGGAATGCAAATCAATCAAATCAAAATCAATCAATAACTGTGCCACGTGGTATATTAAAAACACTGTTACTTTAATGTAATGCCAGATTTTGACAGCCATCAAAAACGTCAGTAAAATTAAAGCAAATAATGTTAATCATTAATCCGTTCATTGTTCCTACCTGATGTTTTTAAACCATGTTTTGCTTTAATTCCTTTAGATGAAACATGTGTGGTTTCAGTTTAAATGAATAAGAATTTATAAAGCACCTTGACAATCACCTTTTTTCAATCAGCTCCTTAGGCCATTCTTTATTTGCTTACATTAACCTTAGAAATGATGTTCAAATTCGATGAAGCAAAAATTTTATTTGATTTATGGGGAAAAATTATATCATTGGGCGAGAATACTTTTTAAAGTGTGTAAGTGTTAATTTAAAACAGCAGATTATCGTTTGTAATGTGGAATGTACTTGTTGTTGCTATCGTGAACATTAAATGCACATCCTTTAAAAGCACCTGCACAAAAATTAATTAAAAAAGGTTTACAAATATATAGTGTCCTTTGTGTCAAAGAATTAATTATTTTAGAAGGGTACCTAGGTTATTAAAGAATAGGTATATGTTTGATAACCGGCAACGTACTTGGAATAAAATAAATGCATCATTCCGGTAACCACAATTTTTTATTGATGATTATGTAGACAAAATAGCTGCCTTTTAATTAACAGCTAATTTCTTGAACGTAGAAAGTCACAACATAGTACACAGTTGTGTAAAAATTTCGATAATATTGCACTATTCTGGTAAACGTTTCGCGGAATAGGTGTTAATGATAACTTACGCTCGATTTAGCTAGTCAGCAGACACACGTGCCGAAAATTAGATCTTGTAAAACCATATTCTTTAACATTTTGATTAAAATTCGTATAATAAAACCTATTAGTAAAGAGACAAGCTTTTGCAATACTACATTTCCTAATTTGAGTTTTATTGGTCAATTATATACGTGTTTTCTATTGGCGAAAAGCTTAGTCTTGCCGAGACGGTGCTTACGATTTTAGCCTGGCGTTATTGCCATGTTGTTTTGGAATCTGAAGTGATCTAATCATAAAATGGCATCAAGAACCGCTCTAGAAACGTATTTTAACAACGTTAGGTTTCTCCGAAAAACTGTACTAGTAAAGGACAACGATGTTACGTCCGCATTTGCTGCTCTTAACAAGTATGTCTGCGATTGCGCCGTTTCCTTTTCTGGGATGCCTGTACTTACATTGATGATGCTAGTGGTTATATTGATTTTTATTTAGTGTGCCGCTTAGGCCTAATTTTCACCTTTAGCACTTGTCGATTCAATTTAGGAATATTCATTCAATCACTGCAATTTGTGGACAAATATGAATGTACAACTTTACTGCCGTTGTAATAGATAGTCGAACGTAGTAACCATTTATTTGGTAAAAATGACATGGTGGAACTATTCAAGCAGTCGTATCAATCGTTGCGCCATCCCTCTAAGCATTAGCCCCTTCTAATCACTTACAGAATAGCTCCGTGATTTGCCTGAAGCACATAGAAAAAGTAACAGCTGTTTAGGTTGACCTCGAATGGGTTTATATCCATTGTGCGCGCCCGTTTAATTCTCGATGTCTTCCGTGTTTCAAATTTCCACGTCTGCTATATAAACTTGAATTTGTTACACTTTACGAGTCGGTAGCAGGACAGACGGAGGGGATACTATCGGTATATTCCTGGATAATTTCCTTTCTAAATAAAGGCAGTTTTATTGTTTACTCACACAGAAATGCAACATCAAGTCAGCACAGCGGAAGTGCATTTCGATCATTTTTGACAAACATATCTGCACTCTTTGTGGATTACCGTCACCTGGTTATCCGGATCGGTGAAGCACGAACTTTGTCTGAAGCTTTTTAATGTGATATGTTCCAAAATTCATGTGTGTACTTTCTTTTGTGGGAGTTGCATATCGCTTCAACGTGAGTTGCTTGTAGATATTTACGGCGTTTTGCTCCTTTTAGAATACTGCGAAACGACAGGGTGATTAAAACTATCAAGGCACAAGAGTATTACGAAACGCCCACGAGGATGCGTCGTCGTGTGATGTATGAACGCTGCAAGCGTATCTACGACAGTGAAATGGCCCGCAAAATAAACTTTGTGATGAAAGCCGACAGACCTGACCCTTGGCTCCGATAGCAATCTTCGCTTTCAACTGCTTTTTTATGTAATAAAGATTAGAATGCAAGTCTTGTTCGTTGTTCTATCGTTTCTTTGACGTCTTCGTCCCTACACGGGGTGCTCAACCTCGCGCATCGTGCGCTCATTTAGTAAACCATATAAATTGCCTACTCATTTAGTTTCAGTATATCCCTTTAACGGGAAGGAGTGCTGTCTCGACGTTTGCCGCAGTCATTTCCATGTTACTGCTTTAGTTTGACGTATGGATAAATTTGAAGGAATACAAATTGCGAAATCGTGCCTTTGTCTCTATGCGGTGCCATCGTCAGTTAAGTTCTGGTTTGAATATAACTACTTATTGCAAGTGGATTTCGACGTTGCTGCCTAATTTGAAATACTTCTTTAAATTCACGCAAGTTGGAAGTGGTGAGCAAATCCCTTCCCCGTGTGACTGGATGAAAAATCTGCGAAAATCCACTGATATTAGTTGCTATCTCGTGAGGTGGGGGGCTCTCACGACTTTGCAGTCATGTAAACGTGGCGTCGTATTAACGTAAATTGACTTCTTCCAACCGACAGACTGTTTGACTGTGCTGTTTCGTTATTTTGCAAGGTACTTAACCACTTTTGAAGTCGGCTGTTCTGTGACGTGGGCTTAATTCATTCATGTGTAGCAAAAGTGCCCTAGGTACTTAGTTCAATTAGTCGAAGTTGCGGGTAAGACCGGTAATTATTGCTTTCCCACCAACTCGAAAATTTATGTGTTCCGCCTGACTTGCTGACAACCTAAAGTGATTGATTTAAGCAAACGGCCCGTGTAACTCAATAATCCTGTCGAGTTGATAAAGTCGAAAATACACTCGTTACGCTGTTGTAATCGCGGACTGTAAGTTTTTTTTAAATTTAAATCACTACATTTTGTATTCAAAACACACAAATACTTTGAGGATTGTAGCTAGC